CGCCATTCTGCAGTAGTGAACCCCTATGCCGTCTCCGCCTGATGGATGTGGATGCATGAATAGATTAAGATGTCTTGGTTAGGTTTTGTAATTTAGGGATCTAGGGTTAGGTTACTGTACATTCCTATGCATGTTTGTCTCCTAGAATTAAAGGAAAAAAATTAGGGACTTTGATTTCCCTTGTGTATTGAACAATGTATAACTTTCCAAAGGTCACTAAACTAACTCATACATTCTTGCTTCTATGTGTTGGAGAAATATTAGACACTACCTCACTCTTTTCAAGATTTCAGTAGCATTTGTTACATTACTAGGTGTTCCTTCGTGTACATATATTAGTAATGGGATACAGATCCTGAATTTGTAATCCCTGATCCTTGCTTATCCTGATTACGTTGCCAGGTGTTCCTTAGATAATCTTGTGCATGTCGGTCATCGTGTCGTTCATATATATGTGCATGTCGGCCATCGTGCCGTTGGTTTTCTTGTAGGTTTTGGAAACCTCACCGTGCAGGGGAGGTACTGCCGAAATTTTGTATTGACAGTTTTATGTTTCTTTTTTATAGAGAAGAGCCCATCGGAGCGGAGCTAGAGTACCTCGGCGACCCCGATCGCCTTCCTCGCCACTACGGGTCTCCTTGCACCGTGTCGCCTCGCCACTGCACCGACCCGCCACGGCCCCGCTAGCCTGACTCCACCGCCACCCTAGGTATAACCCCTCTTTCCGTATCATGGTCGTAGATCACGTAACCCAGTTAGGCGTCTCCCGTTCGAAAGAGATACCGTTGGAAATATGCAGATATTTCCATATCTAAAACCGTATCTGTTTCGAATTGTACACATTTTTTGGACAGTCCGTGGATGCGTAGGTGGGGTTAGTTTCCATGGTCAGATCTGATCCGAGACAAAGTTTCGGCATCATCTCCCTGTTATTCTCCGGATACACACTCTCCCTGGCAGGACGTGTATTTGGAGAACAGCGGGGAGGTGCTGCCGAAATTCTGTCTCAGATAGGAGTAGAGCATGGAAACTAACCTCATCTATGGATCCTTGCGTGGGATTAGGACATATCCTCACCTATTAGATAGTAGGAACGTCGTGTAGATGCAATTGATGTTTATATTACTCGCCGCTATATATGTTAGAGGATGGAGGACCGTGAGTGGATGTACACGGGCCACGTAAGTCAGGGTCATGACACCAATAAATGGATCAACAAGACCGATGCTTTCTTGGAACGGGCATTTGGCGTGGCTGCTAAAGGAGCGAGTAAAATTTGTTGTCCCTGCAGCAAATGTGCAAATAGGAAAAGACAAACAAAGATGGTCATGGGGGAACACCTTTGGAAGAATGGATTTACGATAGACTATACCCGGTGGGTCTACCATGGTGAAGCCGATCGTATGAGAGAGGAGGTGGTGAGACCACGCGTCGAGGATTATGATGCTGATGCCGGGGTAGCAGACACGTTAAATGACTATCACGAGGCACAGTTCGTTGAAGGACGTACGGAGGAGGAGCTAGAGGCAACCGCAAAGGCGTTCTACGACATGTTTGCCGCGGCACAGAAACCCCTTCACGGCCAGACAAAGGTTTCTCAACTGGATGCCATTGGACGCATAATGGCGTTAAAGTCCCAGTATAGCCTGAGTCGAGACGCCTTCGATGGTATGTTGATAGTTATTGGCAGCCTGCTTCTAGAGGGTCACCTTCTACCAAAGAGCATGCACGAGTCACAGAAACTCCTTCGTGCACTTAAGATACCGTATGAGCAGATACATGCTTGCCCGAAGGGATACGTCCTATTTAGGAAAGAATACGTGGAAGCAAAGTACTGTCCAAAGTGTAAATCCTCTAGGTTTCTGGAGGTAGAGGTAGCTTGACATTCCCGTGACAATCCTATGACACCTTTCGTTCATACCGAGGATCCAACGGCTATACATGACCGAGGAATCCACGAAACAGATGACATGACACAAAAATGGCAAATGATACAATCCTGATAGGATGGTACATGCATCCGATGGTGAAGCATGGACCTACTTTGATGGCATTCATCATGAGAAAGCTAATGAGGCTCGTGGTTGTTAATGGTACTTCTATTTGCATTTGTGGTTGTAGATGATGGAGCACTTGGATTACTTGTGAAATTATTTGTGATATATTGTGAGACATGTGACGTTTGTGATATATATGTGACGTTTGTGATATATATGTGGTGTTGATGATATATATGTGTTGTTGATGATATATATGTGATGTTGATGATGTTTGTTATATATATCTTCTGTTTGTTTGAATGAAATATAAAAAACAATTAAAAATGTTATTTTTAGTCACTTTGTCGAGTACAATAGCCATGACACTCGGCAAAGTGACCACAGGGAACATGTTTTGCTAGGTGCCACGGCTACGAAATGGTCTGTAGCCGGTAGGAGACCCAGGGGCCGGTATTGTACGCACCAAAGACTGGTCTCTAGCCGAAAGCCTTATGTGCTATAGAAAAATAGGAGAGCAGCAGTGGTCCCACGCACATGCAAAGAAAAGCCGAACTCCAAGCTGCACGGACACATCTTTTTCTAGTACATTCCTGCCCGGGCCCAAGCTATCCCTCCGGGTGTTTAGGCAGTCTCAGTGGGTGTTTAATGGTTCAACACATTCATCTCCATAAAACTATCTCTACTCCTATAAAATTTTCATTATCTCTCTTAATCAATACAGTGCTATATCAGCGTATTTAATGTCTATAAAACTCTATGAAACCTCATTAAGCACTACCGAGACTGTAGTTACCGAGTGCCCCGACAATTACCGAGTGTCAAAAGTCGGGGCACTCGGAAAACAGTACTTACCGAGTGCCAACACTCGGAAAACATAAACACCCGGTAGTCGACCGCTTTACCGAGTCAGCACACTCGGTAACTTCAGACACTCGGTAAAACTATAAGTTTACCGAAGGAGCGCACTCGGTAAAAACAGCCACTCGATATTGAGGTGCCACGTCACCTAGGATAGCAACCGTGCGTCAAACGACGTCACGGCATGACATGTTTACCGAGTGTTATGAGCATACACTCAGCAAACATCACGGTAACAGCAGCTCCGCCCATCAAGCGCTCATAGCAAATAAAAAAGACCGAAAATGTTTACCGAGTGTCACACTCGGTAGAAGTATTTGCACTCGGTAATAATAAAGTTTTACCGAGTGTAAGTGCACAACACTCGGTAAACACTATCTTTTACCGAGTGTATTGGCGCAACACTTAGTTAAATTCAACCAAATTTCTTGTTTTTCCCTTCATTCTTTTTCCTCTATCCACATATGATATTTAGTACTCCATTCCAAAATATGGTGTTTATTTCGATTTATTTACTATATTTCACAAAATTTTCATTCTTTATGAAAATTAGGTACATATCGTGTAAATTTAATTGTAATAATTAAAATTGAACTCGATAAATCACGAGATTGGAAGAATTAACATTGAAGCATACATCTATGTTATAGAAAAATTTTCATAACGTTTCGGAATATTTTTACATTCGTCGCTGCCGAACCGGTACATCTCCCAAAGAGACGCTAAACATTCACAATGACGAGTAGGATTTCTATTAAGAGTGAAATTCAACATTATGATTTGAACTTGGAATTTTTTAGATAGTAAATAGATGACATGAAATAGTTCATGTGAAAGTTTGGTAAATTTTAGGATTAAATTGGCATTTTTTCTTTTTTGTTTTGCATGAAATAATGGATACTTTTACCGAGTGTGACCTCAAACACTTTCGGTAAAGGTTAGCCACGCCCACACTGCGCTCGCCACAAAGGGGTGCCATGCTTCTGTTCTTGAGTGCCGTAGTCCGGGCACTTTCGGTAAACATGTACCAGCCCACATGTCATTGGGCTCATGCAGGTGCTTGCTGTTCTGAAGTGCCGTGATCTGGGCACTTGGTAAACATGTACCAGCCCACATGTCATTGGGCTGCGGTGCTGAGTTTACCGAGTGCCGTACATCTAGGCACTCGATGAAATGTAAGCATTCAACACTTAGCCGCTTTCTCCTCAAATCGTGCACAAACACACACACACACACCGCTGACACGCCACATCCCCCTGCCAGCCCGCCGCCGTCCCCAGCCCATGGCGCCTCCCATGTCGCCGGCACCTCCCCCGCCGTCCCGTGCTTGCGCCACGCGCCTCCCATGCCTCCCAGCTCCACGTCGACGCTGGCGCCTCCCGCCGCCGCCGGGCGCCTCCCCGCCATGACGCCCTCCTCCCCTCCCCTCCGCCGCCCGCCCTCCTCGCTGTCGCCGGCGCCTCCCACCCCGCGCCGCCACCTCCTCCACCACCACCGCCACCGGGCGGTCCCCACAGCCGCCGCCATCGGGAGGGCGGTCACCCGCCGCCACCAGCAGGCTGCCAGCCCGCCGCCGCCTCCTCCCCTCCACCACCGCCGCCACCGGGCGGTCCTCCACCGCCGCTGCCACCGGTAAATGCCCTAAGCCACCATATTTTCCTTTTTTCAAGTTATGACTATATGCATTTGTGCAATCTCTTTCTTGTTTCATTTTTTCTTGTATCTTGCTACTTTTGGTTTTGATGTTTTCTCTCAGTAGGGGGGCAATCCTTCCTGCCCCCTCCAAAAAAAAGGCATAGGAAAAGTCATTCACGTTACACTTGGTTCAAAACTAATTACAGCATATTCATATTTTGTGGCCAACAAAAAGGAAGCCTTCCCATTATCAATATTCATTCTTAGTAATTAAAAAAAATTACATCTATAATTAAAAAATAAGACAAGCCTGCACTGGCAAATGTATATTATTGCAAAGCATAAAAAAAGAGAGGAAATGCCTGCCAACAATCAATATAGCAGTCAAGGTATACTTGAATTATTTGGCAAATAAACCATGTGGATAAAGTCATTTTGTGATTCCACACTTTCTGTTAGTATGCTAGAATGTAGGAAAAAAAGGAGAAAAATGGATCTAGCATAAGACTATAGCAGAGATAGCGTACCGCATCCATCAAGCGTTCCAATGGGGTCAGCATTACTGATGCCATAGCAGTTAGATATCTCCAATTCTCCAGAAAAACTCCTGTTTTGTTTCACCAACTTTCCTTGCCTGTCATTGATTATTTTGGCCCCATTCTCACCATTGCTATGGCCAAAATCATTAGCATTTCGATGCCCAGGGTAATCAGCAGGGTGCAAAAGGGATGAAGATTGTGGAGGCAAGGAAGTAGTATCCCGAGCAGCAAGAGTGGCAAAGATGGAGTGAGATGGTAGGAGAAAGTAGAATTTTATTCCAGCAATCTCAATGAGGTCCTGAGAATTCAATTTAATAGGGACACTACCTGGGAGATAAGAGACCTCCCGAATGGTGCATCCATTTCTTCCAATGACTTTAATGGCAAAATGGTGGAGTTTAAAGTCATAGAATATACATGCATGGCAACGGGAAACTCGTTGGCTTCCGCATTCATATTTTGAGAGATCAAAGTCTACAGTATAGCTTTCAGTGTTGCGCCCCAAGATGACTGAATAAGTTTGTATAAAGTACACAAAATTTTCACCCTGAAGCTTGGCAAAACCAGGCACCTTTTGACTCTGGCCAATAGATGTCACTGCAGAATTTGAGGCTGCCATCTCTGGTGTTCCTGGTAGTCAAAGAAAACATTATGTGTTTACTTTCAGTTTCTTGTATGGAGTAAATAGGTTATTTGTTAAAATACAGTATGAATGGATTATATTAGCTAAATTGCATTATATGTCTATGCAGTCTCTTGCTAGACAGCTAAGGTAATGATGTTAGATGAACTAAACATTGTAAAAACATACTGATACGAGAAAAGGGTCCAAAACAACAAATTTATGCTATTAGAGAATACACTGGAGGTAACTACAGAAGTAGACTTTTTGCTTCCTTCAAATCATTCCACATAAGACATAGTGCACAGTACAAATGAAACCAATTTTCACTGTGACTTTAATATAGTTCAGTAATGTCTTTGATTTCACGAAGATACAGTTTTGGGGAACAAAAGTTCCATATTTTGTTCCAATATCTATCAGTGCTATTGATAAAAATATAAGATTATGTGTGCAATTATACTATGCTTCTTAGATCCAGACAGATACCGTGACGCTTGTATTTCCAAGTGTCTGGCCGTACGTTGCCTTATTGTGTTTTGAAGGGTAACAACTAACAGCTGACAACACTATTTTCCCCTATCATAATGTGTGGATCAACCTCTAACAAGGTAAAAGATGAATGCCTTTCAAAAAATGGCATGGCCCTAAAATTATATGTTAATAACAACTCTCTATATCAAGATTCAAAAATAGAACTGTTGAAAAAATGATATATCAAAGTAATAATGTAAAAATACATGAAGGACCACAGTTAGCCTGTGATTTTGATTATTGATAGTGATGTCTACACAATAGCCTTGATGGTTGTGAAGCAAGGAGAGAAATAATATATACTGTACAAATCTTTTTGAACAAAAATGATGGGCTACGAGACCATATGAACAAATCTTTTTGATAGTGATGTCTGCACAATAGCCTTGATGGTTGTGAAGCAAGGAGAGAAATAATATATACTGTACAAATCTTTTTGAACAAATCTTGCTAGTGATGTTTGTGGCTACAAAAAAATTGGTTCCATGTATTCCTCCATCTACAAGTGACATAGCGGCCTTTCAACCTTAGGTAAAATCTCATCATCCAATCTAGCAAACATCTTCTATGTGAATCGACCAAGAACATGAATCTCTCTTTATCATCTCATATGGTTTTTCTCTAGCACTACTACTCTATTGCTCTAAACTGCAATATCATCTATATGTTAGGATGGATGACCGTCAGTGGATGTACACGGGCTATCAGAAGAGGGGTCAATACACAAATGAATGGATTGAGAAGGCCAATGATTTCATGACGAAGGCATTTGCAAACGGACGGCGACATGCCTGGTGTCCCTGTAGGAAGTGTAAGAACAAGGCAATGAAAACATATGAGGAGATGACTAAAGATCTTGTCAACAATGGATTTGTAGAGAACTATACCCGGTGGACCATGCATGGTGAACGCCATCGTCATGAGAGAAGAGGTCGTGAGACAACGGATCGAGGAGTTTGATTCTGAAGCGGGGGTGGCAAAAAATGTTAAATGACCATGACATGGCTTTCGATGAAGGAAGTGCGAGCAGCGCCAGGAGAGCGAACAAAGCGCAAAGGCGTTTTACGCCATGTTGGATGTGGCACAACAACCCCTTCACAGGGCGCACCAATGTTTCTAAACCGGATGCCATTGCACGTCTAATGGTCAGTGAAGTCCCGGTTTAGGCCGAGTAGAGAATCCTTCGATCAATCGCTGATGATGGTTGGCACCCTACTTCCGGATGATCACGTTACGCCAAAGAACACGTATGAGTCAAATAAAATCCTTCGTGCACTCAAGATGTCGTGCGAGCAGATACATGCTTGTCCGAACGGATGCATCTTATTCGGGGAGAACATCTTTGGCGATAAGTATCATTATGCGAAGTGTAAGGCATCTAGGTATATTGAGTTAGAATCGGTGATGGTCGGAAGACGCAAACAAAAGTCGGCGCAAAAAGATCCCGAGGTACCTTCCTTTCATACCGAGGATCCAACGGCTTTTCATGAGCGAGAATCCATAAAATGATGACGTGGCACAAAATCGACACACGATACACTAACAAGATGATACATCCATCCGATGGTGAATCATGGAAAAGCTTCGATCGGAAGCATACCGACAAAGCTGACGAGGCTCGTAATGTACGCATTGCACTGGCAACTGATGGGTTCAATCCTTATGGAATGGGTTCTTCACCATACACATGTTGGCCCGTATTCGCCATCCCTCTCAACCTCCCACTGGCGCCGCCTTTCAATGGCAAAATATTTTCTTGTCACTTATAATTCCGGGACACCCGGGGCTAATATGAGTGTGTACATGGAGCCTTTGATAGATGATTTGGTCCGTGCATGGGACAAAGGGGTAGTGACATCTGACCGATTCACAAAGACAAACTTCGAATGCATATTTGGTACCATTATTCCATGCATGACTTCACGGCTTATGGGTTATTTTGTGGTGGTGTGTTCACACAAAAAGATGCCATGCCCGATATTGCAAGTCACCGTGGAGTTCTTTCGATTGGAGAAGGGGGCAAGTTTTCTTCATTTGACAAACATCGACAATTCCTCCCTCTTGACCACCCATTCAGGAGAGACAAGAAGAACTTTTGAAAAGGTGTCACAGTGGAAGACTCTCAGACCGGAATGATGATGACAGTGCCTGTGTTCTTGAGATGTTAGATGGTCTTGTGGTCGACAATGAAAAGGGGGGGCTTCGTGGGATCTGAAAAAGATCATGCTCGGACACACAAGTCGTGATTGTGGAAGCTTCCTTACTTTAAGGACCTCCTTCTTCCACATAACATTGATGTAATGCACAATCGAAAAGAATTTCGCGAGGCGGTCCTTCACACAATCATGGACTGGGAAAAGTCAAAGGACAATGTTAAGGCTAGATTGGATCAAGCAACGCCAGTCGATAGACTAAAGCTAAACATGTTGCCTCCCTTACGCTGGAAGTCATGGAAGAAGCCTAAGGCCGACTTCATCCTAACGAGGGCCCAAAAGAAAGAAGTTCTTCAATGGTTCCAATCGTTGATGTTCCACACGGCATGCGCCGAATTGGAGGAGGGTGTGAACTTAAGTACCATGCGAATCATCACAGGCTCAAGAGTCATGATTACCACATATGGATTGAGCGCCTTCTTCCGGTGATGGTTCGTGGCTATTTCCTGATCACATCTGGCGAGTGATGGCGAGTTGAGCATGTTCTTCCGCAAGCTATGTGCTAAGGAGATATCTCGGACCGAGATTGAAGAAATGGAAAGAATGGCCCCGGTGTTGCTCTACAAGTTGGAGAAGATCTTTCCCCCCGGCTTCTTCAATCCGATGCAACATTTGCTCTTGCACCTACCATATGAGGCAAAAATGGGGGCCACATGCATGCATGACCGTTGGTGCTATCCAATTGAGCGATGCCTAAAGGTTCTTAGAATAAAATGCAAAAATAAATGCAAAATTGAAGCTTCACATGCGAGAGGCATCCATTGTGGAGGAGGTGTGTCATACTTCACAACAAGATACTATGCCGACAACCTTCCTAACGTGCATAATCTACCCCCTCGTTACAATGATGCCGACAATCAGTCGACCCTCAGCCTTTTCCGAGGGCAACTCGGAAGTGCAAGTGAACCTACCTTGAAGATGTTGAGCCTAGAAGAGTGGCGCTCTATCCATTTGTGTGTGTTGTTGAACCTTGAAGAGGTTGCCCGTACATTATAAGTTTTACACAAACTTGTTTCTTTTCTTGTCAATATTTCGCATGCACCCATCCAACCCTCTTGTTAACGGCCGTTACAGCAAATTTGTTCTCCTCTACCATCGTCCATCACGGAGGGAACCCACCGAAGCGGAAGTTGAGACCCTTCTAAGACATGGCGCGGGAGAACAAAATCCCACTTTTATTTGTTGGTTCAAGGAGGAGGTACTGTTCAATTTCATTTGTTGTTTGTACTTAACTCTCAACTCGACAAATATATAACGAATCATCCTACTTGAACTAGCAGGCCAAAAGCCGCGTGTCTATGAGTGCCGAGTTGAGGCAAATTGCCAATGGATTTGAATTTAGGGTCAAGTCATTCTCTCGTATGCGATGTCAATGGATATCGCTTTCACACAACTCGGCACGAGCAAGCAGAGTCGGCCGAATCGAAGAACCACAAATACCGGTGTTTTCACGCCAGCACGATGGGTTGGACTACTATGGAATAATTGAAGAAATATACAAACTCAAGTTTCCTGGTTGTGTACCTCTTCATCCTGTCATATTCAAATGCCATTGGTTTGATCCCAAAGAAGTGATAAAGACCCCTGAGCTTGGGTTAGTCGAAGTTCTAAAGTCATCCGTCTTGCTAGGAGACGACGTGTACATTGTGGCCCAACAAGCCAAGCAAGTTTATTATCTCTCATACTCGTGCCAAACCAAAGACCGTCTTAAGGCGTATGATGTTGTGTACAAGGTATCGCCGCATGGTAAAGTACCCGTCCCAAACGATGATGATTATAACATCGATGCAAACACATATGACGGAGAGTTCTTTCAAGAAGAAGGATTAGAAGGGAGTTTTGAGATTGTCTTAGATGTAGATCTCGCAATGGAAGTAGACAATGATACGGTCATTGTTGACGGGGATGATGGAGAGGAGGTTCACAACGCGAAGGACTTGTTATTACTTGAGCAACACCATTCAGGCCTTGTCGCTTGTGATGAGACTTTGAGAGACGATCATAATTACGTCGACAATAGCGATGATGAGATTTTTGGCCCACCTATCGATGATCTTGATGATTATTTCTAGTACATGTAACATCTGTAGTACTTATGGCAATTTTATACATGTATGATACATTTACTTATTTTGCATCTCTTTTATACATGTATGATACATTTACTTATTTTGCATCTCTTTTATACATGTATGATACATTTACTTATTTTGCATCTCTTTTATACATGTATGATACATTTACTTTTGT